CCGCCTCGCGTTGGCGGCCGCGGGCGCGGCAGGGGTGGCGGCGCCGATGGCGGCCGATGCGCTCGCGGGCGCGGGCGCGGACGTGGCGACGGCGCTGGGGCATCGGCGGCGGCGCCGACGGGGGCGCAGCCCGACGCCGCTGCGCCCGCGCCGCAGCAGACGCTCTTGTACCAGTTCGCGAAGCGGTCTGCTACCAAGGCGAAGTACGCTGCCGCTGCCCATGAGGACAGCCCCCACGATGATGCTTCTGCTGAGGATCAGGCTGATGATTACGTAGTCGGCGAGGGCACGCCCGATGCTGCTGGCGCCGCCCGCTCCGAGGGCGGCCCGCCCGCGGCCGCGTCGACGGCGATGCCAGTCAGCGATGCCGTCGCGCCATCCGCGGCGGACGGGGCGGATGGCAGCGGAGCGGCCGATGATGGTGATTCCGCGTCGGACGCTCAGACCCTTCCTGCTGATCTGGCAGACGTCGCCGCCATGACCGCCGCCGAGCTGGAGCCAGGTGGTGAGCCTGACGACGTCACCTCCCATCCAGATGATCTGCCAGACGACGCTGCTGCGCGCGGCGACAGCGCCGCCGCCGACACTGGCGCCGCAGCAGAGGGAGGTGCGCCAGAGCCGCCGCAGCACCTGGATCAAGATGCATCGCGGTTGCCGCCGCCACCTGCGTCGCCAGAGCGCGCAGTGCCACCAGAGGCGCTGCTTGCGCCCTCAGACGCCGCGGGCGCACCGCGCCCCGAGCCGCCCCTGCCGCAGCCTGGGCTGTCGCTCCCGAGTGGGGCCGCTGAGGAGACGGGCGCGGCGACGCCGCCCTCGGAGGCGCCGCGGGCGCAGCTGGACCACGCCCAGGTGGCGCACGCGGCGAAGCAGGAGCCAGCCCAACCCCAGCAGGTGCAGCAGGAGCCAGCCCCAGCCTCAGATGCAGCGAATGTGAATCATGAGGCATCCCCAGCAGTCCCCGTGGATTCGGAGGCACACGAGCAGCCCGAAGATGCTGGCGCAGCGACGCTGCCCTACTCAGCAGCGGACTTGCTACTGCCGCCACCGCCGCCGCTGCCCGCCATCGCGACCGCTGCGCCTGCAAAGCGACGCCGCGTGGTTGCCCATGCCGCGGCGCTGCTGACCTCCGCAGAGCGCGACCGCCACGCAGCTGCACATGCTGCTGCATCATCGGCAGCGGCGGTGGCCCCTGGGGCTGCTAGCGCCGAGGTCACGCGGCCGCTGGATCTAGCGGCGGCGTACAGCGGGTACAGCAGATTGGACCGCAAGGTATGCAACGACCTCCGCGACAGCTTCGAGTGGGCGAACGATGCGCTCGACGAGCTGGGGGCGGCGTACGGCGAGGACGATGGATTTGGTGATGTGGATGATATGATGGTGGGGTTTGTGACCTATGTGTGCGGTGGATGATGCATTCGATCAGCCCGTTCAGGTTGTCCTGGGCCCCACGGGCCCCCCCCCCCTGGGTCTCGGGATTCTCTGGGAGCCCCCCCTGGCACCTGGTGGGCCCCTCCGAGTTTGATCCGCGGCGCCACGCGGGATGGCCCACAGTCGGGCTGAGGACGCCCGAATGTCGCATCATCGTTCTCTGGCCTGTCACCCCGCCCCCCCTGGCCTGGCCCGACCTCGGCCTCTCCCCCCCCTGCACCCCGCCCCCCCCCCCCCCTGCCCCGCCGCTGCGCCTCGAGGACGCCCTGGAGACATTGGCCGCCAAGACCGAGACGGACACGCGATCCAGCGCGTACTCGGGCATCGGGGCGCCCGCGGTCTCCGTGCGATGCTTGCAGGCCGCCTTGGCGCGGCGGTTGGGCAGGCCGCTCGTCCCCGCCACGATCCTGCACTGCATCGAGATCGACAAGCACTGCCAGCTGCCAGGATCGGCGTCAGCCCTGACCAGCTGCAGCAGCCTCGCCGCGCGGCGCTGGCACGAAGGTCTGCCAGGACGGGGACGGGGCATCAGGTTGTTCGCAGTCGCTCGCCTCTGCGCAAATCTGGCAGTTTCTGTAGCAGTTCTGCTGGCAGTGCGACCGTGGCCAGCAGCGGGAGCCGCAAAGCAAGCGCTGTCGCCCGGGCAGCCTCTGTGGCTTCCTCGGCGTCGCGCCGTTCGGGCGGAGGGTAGGATAGCTCGACCAGCTGCTCGCGATGATGCGGGGCGGGGCGTGGGCGTGGGTGGGGGAGGGGGAACAGGAGGATCAATGAAGACCCCACCGATGCCACGACGAACAAATGACGACGGTGCGACGACGCCTCGACGCCGACGCGACGCCGCCGACCGACTCAACATCGATTACTTCGATTACGATTACGATAACAGCCCGATAAGAACCACTGCGGGAAAGATCACATCGCGGAGGCAGGAGCAGGGAAGCATGGGCGCATGAGGGATGGGATGACTCGAAGAGCATTCAAAGGACAGTTCGGGCAGACAGCGCTGGAGCCGTGGAGCCGTGGGCAAGCCACGACGTCGCCGCCGCCCAGTCGTCGCGCCCAGCATGGCAGTCAGCCAGGCAGCCAGCGAGCGCTGTGGCATCGCGGCATCTGGCTGAGCCCGTCCGTTTTGCAATTAGTATCACAGTTTCAGTGTGTATCTCGTCTCGCTCTCGCCCTCGCCCTCGCTCTATACTCTATGCTCGATACGTTACTTGCCGTATATCCCGCTGCGTCGTCCTTATCATCATTCGTTCCTTATGTTTCTTCGTCACATTGTTATTCGTGCGCCCTGCCGCGCCCTACTTCTGTCGGCCCAAGCTCCAAGCCCCATCCGCCACCCTGCCGCCCCTCCTCCTCCTGCTCCTCACTCCTCCGACCACCGCTCCCTCTTCCTCCTCCTCCTCCATCGTCGCCCCCTCCTTCTCCTCTTCGCGCGTCGTCGTCGGACTCTCCTTCCCTGGGGTCCGCCTTCCCGCTCGTCCCTCCTCTCCGAGCTCACTGCCTCTCTCGCGCAAGATATCCCGCTGGGCGCCGACCGCCAGCCCTGCCCTCCCTCTGCCGGCCCCTCCGCGGATCTGCCCGCTAAGTTGGGTCCGCCGCCTCCAGCCAGCGGGCCGTTGAAGTGCAGTAGTCGTAGTCGGCGTGGTCAGCGCCTTGCGGCAACGGTCAGGGGATCGCGGTTGCGACGACAAATTCCTCTCCTCCACTCCTCCCCCCCCCCCCCATCCTCTCACGTCCTCCCCCCCTCCCTCCTTCGCCAACTCCTGGAGCCCTGGCGCCCCTCCTCTCCGCCCCGCGCCCCAACCCCGCATTGCCCCTCTCCGCGGTGCGACGTCGATTCGACGTCTTACGCTGGGGGCACATTCGGTCGGCGTCGGCACGGCGGCTTGACGACGTCGAGACAACTCAGCGATGACGAACTCTGCCGGCGCGGTCTCAACAGTCCGCGGGGACGGGAACCGGGAGAAAGAGGGAGATATATATATAGAGAGAGAGAGAGAGAGAGAGAGAGAGAGAGAGAGAGAGAGAGAGAGAGAGAGAGAGAAGAGTCAGAGAGAGACGAGCGAGACGAGAGAGAAGAGAGTTATAACGTATATAAATATATATAATAGAGAGAGAGAGAGCAAGAAGAGAGGAGGAGAGAGAGAGGGGGATAAGAGAGAGAGAAGGAGAGAGAGAGATAGAGAGAGATGAGAGAGGAGAGACATACATAAACACTGAGCACCAGAGAGGAAGAAGAAAGGGAGATAAGAGAGAGAGAGGAGAGCGAGAGAGAGAAGAGAGAGATAGGCGAGACGAGAAGAGAGAGAGAGAGATAGAAGAGGAGATAGAGAGAGAGATAGAAAGAAGAGATAAGAGTAGAGCGAGAAGAGAGAGAAAAAGAGAGAGAGAGAGAGGAGAGAGAGAGAGAGAGGAGAGAGGGAGGTTAGAGCGAGAGCGAGAGAGAGGAGAGAGAATATATAGATAGAAGTAGTATGGAGAGAGAAGAGAGAGAGCGAGAGAGAGAGAAAGTGGAGAGAGAGGGGGGGGGGAGGAGAGAGAGAGAGAGAGAGAGAGAGAGAGAGAGAGAGAGAGAGAGAGAGAGAGAGAGAGCGAGACTAGAGTGGGCCCAAGAGGGCCCCTTGCCGGGGGGCCGTCCGCCCCAGCCCTTGCCGGGGCGGCGAGATGCTCTCGCACCCCTTTTCTCTTGCAGTCTTACAGACAGCCAGACAGCCCCCCTCCGCCGCCCCCTCCTTCCCGCGTTGCCATCTGTGCTGCAGGCCCGAGCTCGCCAGAGCTTCCCGTGCTCAGCAGCAGCAACTCTCTGCTGCAACTCTCTGCTGCTCGCTCACTGCTCACGCTGCGCCCGTCGCAGCCTCAGCCAAATCCGACTCATGATCAGCAAGGTGGCCGCCGGCGGAGGAGGCGAGATCGTTCCCGCCGCCGCCGCCGGCAGCGCCGAAGGCAGCATGGTTGCGACCTTCGGCAACTACCACGGCGCAATCATGCTCAACAAGTTCTGGGAACGATGGGACGCAGGCTACGTCAACCTGAGGTGGTTCGCCGAGGCTGCGCCGCCGTGCAAGCCTCGCTCCATCGAGCCGTCGCCGCACAACCGCGACATCTCGGAGACTGTCAGGGATTCCTACAAGGAGCGGATCCTCCTGAGTGGGCTCTCGTTGGGCGTCCGCGGTGGGGCGTGGATGCACTTCCGTGACACGGCACCTCCTCCTCTTCCCCTCTCCTCCCTCCTCCACCTCCTCCTCCTCCTCCTCCTCCTCCTCTCTCCTCCTTCTTGCCTCCCTCCCACTTGCCTCCCCTTCGCTCTTCCGCCGCCCTGCCCGGCCCTGCCCCCCCTCCTGCCCGGCGGCCCCCCCCCCCCGCCACGCCGCCGCGACCCCCATCGGCGCCGTCGGCATCGGCTCGTCAGCCACTCAGCTCCTCAGCGCCTCCCCCGACGCCGCCTTCCTCCTCCTCCCCCTCCTCCTTTTCCTCCTCCCCCTCCCCCTCCTCCGCCTCCTCCGCCCCTCCGCTTCCGTTCGCCTCCTCGAGCCTCCTCCCCCTTCCCCGGCCCGCGCCGCCCGTGCAAGGCTCGCGGGCTGCCAGTCTTCGCCGTGACCTTCAACCACCTTTCGCAGGCCTTCTACTGTGCCTATGACGAGGCGCCAGAGAACGCGTTCGTGGAGGCTGCCCTTCGAGCCGGCATCAGAGTTCGAATGATATCAGAGGATTGCCCAGACTTCGCGCTCATCTGGCTGGCGAACTACCACAACAAGTTCCACGAGGGGTCAGCATGCACGTTCGTGCAGACTCTGAAGGGGGCGCTGGACATGGAGAAGAGGTTCAGGGGGCACTGCCAGCGCAACCAGATCAAGAGCACCATCCCCGGCTACGAGCACCATCCCCGGCTACGAGAAGCTATATGAGGAGTTCGTGGAGAAGGTGCTCGAGGACGAGCCAGATAACCCTGTGAAGCTGGAGTCGTGGAACCACTTTCGGCACTGCAAGTCGCTGTGCCGCAACCTCGCGCGTTACGGCGTGTACGATGAGTTCATCGAATGGTGTCGACTCCATGCCAACTTCCTCGACCCCAGCCTCAACGGCTTCACGTGCATCACGCTGTGCCACAACTGGGCCCTCAAGGCGCCCGCCGGCACGGCCCGGCACGGCGCGCGGAGGTAGAGCGGTAGAGGTAGTGCGGGGGCGGACCGTTGATTCTGACCGATGATGCGGACGCGGGGCGACAGGCTTCGGTTTCGAAGGCGGTGGAGTGGAAGAGGAGAGGG